CATTTTAATAACAACTAAAGGTGACACAGATACTTCATTGTGGTATAGTATTTAAATCTATGCCTAATAAACATATAATATTGCCCCTTTAAACTTATCAGTTTTGTTCTTTCCTTTCATGTAAGACCACACGAAGGATGTTTTATATGAACATGAACATTAAAGAAGACACGCACATACAAGCATACAAACAAAAATTGTGCATGAGGAAGAGAAACAGCCCGAGGGAAGAAAGCAGGGAGAGCCCGATACTTGTGTATCAAAAGCAGGGGAAGCAGGGTGGGGGGGGGGGGGGTCGCGTCAGTCTGACTCCCCACTCAACTTAAACATGCTTTTTATGCCTCCAGCGCTGCAGCTACATGACTTTCTCTCACTGTTTTTTTTTTCTTCTTCGTTTTACTCACACTGTATGCATGTGTGCATGGGTTTTGTGTGTATATGTGTGTGTGTGTGTGTGTGCCTTTCGGTTGAGCTCTGAGGAGGCCAGGGGTGGAGGCAGGCCACAAGAAAGAGCTCCCCGAGAAAATTAGAGAGGACTCCACTTAAACACTAACAGAAAACACAGAGAGAGACAGTGCGATGCTAACCACCAGCCAGACTTTAAGAGGTAAAAGAAAAAAAGCGGGATGAAAAATAAATAAATAAATTGATGATGTTGGTATGAAACATGTGTTTATTTGGTTGGGAGGGGGGTTATAACTGAGGAGTCTTATGGAAACAAACACACTTCTCCTTGAATGGAGTGCTACAGTAATTATTACTATCACTCTATTGGCAAAGATTATAAAAAGTTCAAGGTAAAACGTATTCACAAGCCAACACTGAGCACACAAGTAGGTAATCGTCGCTTTTATGAAATCACACGTTTCTTGAGCATGATGGAGAGGAAAAAAAGGATGAGGGAGAAAGATGCAAAGTTGGTGGGACCTCCAACGATGTCTCACTGTCAGGAATTTTGTTGTTTATTTAAACTGTAATCTTTTCCAGTGGCTGTCAGGCCTGAAGATTCATGTGTTTGTATATATATATATATATATATATATATATATATGTGTGTGTGTGTGTGTGTGTGTGTGTGTGTGTGTGTGTGTGTGTGTGTGTGTGTGTGTGTGTGAGAAACAGTTCTGTTTACATGCCTATACCTACGTGTGTGTTTCTTTTTGTGTCTTCACGTGCATGCGCACCCCATCAGTGTGTGTGTGTGAAACGTCCCTGAGCCGAGTTGAATCAGGCCTGCTGTTTATTCAGAGCGTTACAAGGCCAGGAGATGTTTACAGCAGCGTATTTATCCTACTCCCCAGCTAGCCAGCATTGGATCTCTCCGTTTGCCCGACTACAGCTACAGCTAAACAAGACCTCCAACAGAGACCGGGCCCCTCCGTCTCACCCCGTCCTCTGACGCACAACAGCCAAGATGCAATAAAACTGTTTTGTAACTCCGTTATGGCCGATCAAACGTTTTGTTTTCTGACTCGACTTCTACGCATCTACTATTCTGCAGAGGATTCTTTTATTAGCCACTGATCAAGGCCTTTACAAGAACCACCCTCACAGTACTTCTCCTCCATTTCCTCTATTTTGCTTCTGTCTCCATTTGTTCACAAAAAACATTGCTTTTTATGTCATGGAGGCCTGTGAGCTCAAGGTTGTGGTTTTGGGCATAGGCCGAGACCACATTCAGCTTAAAAACATGGAGCTTTTTCTCTCTCTCTCTTACTTTTTTTTCTTTTCCCCCCATTATAACCGCAAAGTGGGAGAAAACACACATGAGAGTGCGCATATGCAAGATTTACACACATTTCCATCGAGGAGAGACAGAGAGGGGAATGATGTCTGTTGGTGGGCTACAGAACCAAATGACTGGCTGACCAGTTCAAAATTAGCTCCACTTTTTTTTCCTTTTTTTTTATTAAGGCTGAGAAAATGCCAAACGGATGATAGGAATTTTTACAGATTCCTGTGTTTGTGTGAGAGCGAGATGTACAGAGACACCACCCAGTGGGCCACAGAACGCTTCCATGTTTACAAGCAGCTGCTACACACCACTGATGTTTTCCCCATTTGTTGCACTCTGAGGATGTGCGCGCTCTCTTGGAGTGACAGAACCAGCTGCATATAGTTGTCACCGGTTGTGCATAAACAGAGGCGGAACATTGCCACCTGCGTACAGCCCTGATCCCCCACCGGGCTTTGTTCTGCCCCCGAACCAAGCTAAACAACAAACACAGAGAGAGGGAGAGAGAGAGGGAGGGAGTGAGAGAGAGAAATCACATCTCACCTCATGATGAAGTCAAACTCGGACCCTGCCAGCATGAGAACACCCAGCAATGTAGAAATGGCTCCGTCGACCACTGGGGCGAACATGTGCTCCAGCGCCACCGCTGAGCGCTTGTTTCTGTTGCCAATCGCTGTCAGGAAGCCCTGTGGCAGCGGGGGGAAAGAAGGAAAGAGAAATAAGTTGGAAATCTTTCCGATCGCACAAAATGTGTTTGCGGTGAGACCTGGCAGGCTTGGATTATTACTACGCTTCACTAAGAGATGAAATTTAAAAAAAAGACCAAATCTACTGCAAAGGTACACAGATAAAAATAATGACAGGCTCCAGAGAAACATTTTCTGTTTATCTGCTGATTTCTATTTCGAACTTTAACCAACACGTGCCCTATAGCTTTCGTCCGAGTTTTAAGTCTTACCAATGCAATGTGAACGGTAAACTCCACTCCRATGCCCACCGAGGCAATCAGGATGACCACAGGAATGGCACTGAGCTTGATGCCAATCAGGCCCATGATGCCAAACAACTCCACAGTCATCATGGCCAAGATAAACACCTGAAACACACACAAGGAAATTAAATGTTATGAACGCCTTGAGAAGGAAAAAACGCAGCTATAGGGCAGCCTTTAAATAAAAAAAATAAAATAAAACGTGGAGTTGACAAAAAATGGCATTCAGCTATACAATTTAATGCAGTGGTTGTGTCAGTTTTAATGGGGCTTTTGACAGTTGGTGTTTCTAAGATCACAACTATGTTGATTCAATTCTTCCCTCCTCAGGCTACAAGGTTCCCACTTTCCTCTCTGTCCTCCTTTGCCCTCTTTCTCATCTTCCTTCCTTGAGGTGGTGGCTCAAACAATGGACAGTATATAAGACACGGCTGTGTGGGCACACTTTCACCCCACCATTTTCATTTTAAACATACCTGCTTGTACATTTAGTTACTTTCGGCTTTGTTTGATCAGTAACAGCCTGTTTACTTTCCGTATTTTAATGCCACAGTCTTGAGAACTCGTGATAACTTGTCAACTCTTGATAAAAAAATGTTTTGTGCTATCAAAAATCCCAACGCAAACAAATAAAAACAACTTTATAACATAATTAGGAGAGATTTATTTCAAGTCAAAGGACGTTTTTGGTTTCTAAGTTGAGGTGGAGTATTTGAGAGGGGAAAATTTGATTTGTTTCTTTTTGTGTTGTTTTCTAAGACTGGTCAAACCTAAATTAGAATATCACTATTTCTGTTTGTGTGTTTAAAAAGGGGCCATCCAAACAGTGTTTTTTTAGTTGTATTAAAACAGAAGGAAGGAATAGAAGGAAGTTAATTAAAGTGCAAAAATAAGATAAAAATGGAAAACGATATAACATAGAGGTGATTGGAAAAGCTGAAAATGAGAACTGTAGGGTAGAGGGGGTTTTGACTTACAATGATGCCAGCAGTCCAGGGGTTGAGCAGCAGAATCGCACAAACCAGGAAGGTACAGGCCAGGACCACACTGATCGACAGCAGAAACCAGTGCCTGAGACCAATGTACTGCTCCCAGAACAAGAAGGGGTATCCGTTTGGGTAGTTGAGCACACCCTTACGACTGAACTCGTCGCAGATGGCACGCACACTCTCGATGGCCTCCACAAAGTCGCTGGCCTGCCGAAGGCCATTCAGGTAGAAGGGGAACTGAGCAAACTCCAGAGGCTCTGCAGCTGGGACTGCAAACAGAAAAAGCAAAGATGGTTCATCATTTTTCAGGAATACATTTTCAAAATCATCCACTCGGGATATGTTCAAGGCAAAAACAACTTACTGCGCAAATTTTCCCCTGTAGTGTCGTATTTGTCATGAATCCACTCTCTGGGGTGAGGGTAGAAGTTGGCCTGGGACGCAGCATAGCCCAGGGGGTCATTACTGACCCATACTGTCAGGTAAATGTAAAACACCTCTGGGGGGATCAAACCCTCTGCATCCACCAGCTGACGGGTGGTTAGCTAGAGAAGAACAATTCAAAAGGGACAATTAGGTTTTAAAAAAACCAACGACTATCTGACAACAGTGATATCGGTTTATTCGTTTTACAAAAAAAAGTTGTTTTTTAATCTTTCCAAAACAGCTTTTAAACATACCTGGCTGTAGTTAAAAGGGTCTTTCTTGGAGCCGGTCTGAATGAGGAGCTTATACGCCAGAGCTCCATCCTCGGTACCGTTCCTAAAGCTGTCAGCGGTGATCCTGCCTGCCTGCCAGTCAGCATCAAAAGCAGCCTGAAGACCTATGTGTGAGGTAAAACACACAACAAGGAAGAATTATTGCAGCTCTTATTTATAAATGCCTCAATTTCTATTCCCAAAAAATAAAGGTTTTCCAGACAACTGTTCACACACTCAGTGATGTTGAAAATGCAGAATATCAGGTTCCCCACCCCCCTCCCCCTTTTTAGTTGGCCCCGATTGACCGGTTAACTATTACTTCCTCTTGACTGAGCCTTTGACACATTATAACCTAAGGACACACGCATGTGCACACACACACGGAGAGATAACCCATGACCTCAACCTATCTACTGCGACACCCCTGAGCCCAGATGGAGGGCGAAAAACAGCATGAGTGAACTTTCACTCACCCCTTTGTGCATTCTCAGCCCCAAGCCCTCGGCTCATTGCTGTTTTTAGTAAAAACCTTGCTAGCCCACTCAACAAGACTCTTTTAGACGTTTTAAAATAGCCATCGAGGACAAAATATAGTTTTTCCATTACTCTCTTAAAAAATAACACTAATGTCCCCAAATTACTGATTTTTTATTTATKTATTTTTCTTACCTTTGAGCCAGTCCTGGAAGTAGTGCAGCCACATGCGGGGCAGTTTGTTGTCGCCGTCCCTGACCACGTATCTAACAGAGTTGAAAGCGTTGTGCAGCTGAATCAGCAGCCGCTGCGATCGAGCGTAGTCAAATCCGTCCATGGTGACCAGGTACATGTTGTAGAAGGAGAAGTACTTAAACTGGGCGTCTATGAAGTCGTACTCCTTGGTGTCGCGTGGCACGATGTCGGTCAGGTAAAGGCCGTCGTGCACCATGGTGGTCCCGTACAGGCTGAGACCCAGGAGGCTCAAGAAGAGGACAACCACAATGACTTTGCTCTTGGGTTTGAGGAGGAGCGGGGCGTATTTCTCCCTGGCGAAACTGGACAGGTTCCAGTGCAGGAATGGGAGCGGGACACACTTCTTCCCTGATTTGGAGTCCTCCACCTGGGCTAAGAGGTCCCTCGTGGAGCTGGAGGTAGGGGCGAAGAGCTGGGAGCCGTAGGGGTCGGGCACCGAGGTGGTGGTAGGGGAAGGTGAGACGGCTAAACGGAAAAAATACCAATGGAAAAAAAGAAACGGTTATATTTATTGAACTTGTATTTGATATGTTAACATGGTGGTAATCAGAGAGCTCATTGATACCTTGAGGCTGGGAGGTGGGGCAGACGATGATGGAGGTAGGGCTGGTGGAGATCTGTGAAGTCGGAGGCAGGATCGTGACAATGTGCTGCCCCGCGGCGTCGCACTGCGTGAACGCTTGCACCGTCGTGGTGATTTGCGTGCTGGTGGTGATTGTCGAGCCGGCGGCGTACTGGTGCGGGTGCGCTGCCCCCGTCGTGGGCGTGTGAGGCTGCTCGCTGGCGTCTGACAACTCGTGGGGCGAGAGGTGGATGACGCGGTCAGAGCAGGGGCTGTACAGGCAGCAGAGGATGTCCAAACGCTTGTCCTCACGCCGATGGAGGTCCAGACTGAGGATGGCGGGGAAGATGAGCAGCACCATGGCAAAGTTGAACACAACCACTATGGCCGCCTGGGGAGAGAAATGCAATGAAAGTTGAAAGAGAGAGAAAAAAACTTTTAAAGGGATCCATCATTAGTTGTAACATTAGACTTTATTTAATAAACATATATTTTAACTGTAAAATAAAGACTGTAAAATACTGTAGGATGTTCAGTTTTTATCATATTTCAACTAAGTTTAAAAATATATTTTAACACGGACGGAGCCATTTTATTTACACACAAAGCATTCTGGGTAAATGATGACGTAGATAGGTCATCGGTGCGAGGCTGCTAGCGAGCTATATCCACCCTGAAG